GGACATGAACGTTGGCAATCAATGTCCAGCACGTTGGCATTGATTCTCGTCCAGAAAACCGTCCGTTTAATTGCAATAAGTCACAAGAACGTTGGGCATTTAATGTGTTGTAACACCTCAGCAGCATGCTGCTTTTGGCCGTTCAACACCCATGGAGTAGTAGCCTATTGCGCAGGGAACTGCTGGAGCAGTAGCCTCCTGCGGAGCAGCCTGCTCCAACCTGGAGCAAAAATAGGAACTTTACGGAGGAACAAAAATCAACGTTTATCTTTAGAAGATAGAATTTTCGGACAACATTCGTGTCTGCAGGTCGCCCGCACACACAAGTCGGGCTTTTTGTTCTCCGGTTTCGGGATTTGATTCGCACCCCCGCTGCGCGCGTGGAGAGAGCCTTTTACCCTAAGGAATCTTAACTCCTTAAGGAGGGGTTTCCCTTTATAAAGGGTTCAAATTCCATTGGGTTTTCCAGTGTGGGAAAAACCACACTAGAAACCCATCATTTTTCCTAGTTTTCACCATTTCAACGAGTGAACTTCGAGAATCAATTTCTCATTCACCCGTTATCCGTTTTGAGTGTACCATATATCGAATTGTAGCCCTAGCAAGGAAAATCTGAAACCACTTTGACCCGAACCAAATCAGAAGTGGACCCCACTCAAAAAATTGCCCCAAAATGACCATTTATTGCAATTTACTAACACATTTGCCCAACAATTAGATGCCACATAAGTGAGGACTTTACTTGAGTTTGTCAAGATATTAATAGGAGAGTTATCTAGTCACTCGCAAATTGTGTAGGCGGGTCTCCCAAGTGTGGATCTAAACTCCAATGGAACAATCACATATTAGGGTAGTTGTGTTGTGTCAATGGAGCTATAGAAGGAGAGACACATTAATGATCATCTTACAAGAATTTAGGTAGAATCAAAATAGAACACCGGTGAGTGCCGAGTGAAATATCACTTGATTGTGGGTTCAAAGTTTCCCATCACATTTATCTTCATGAGACTATAATCACTATATGTTATCTAATTTCGTTTGCAAGCATCTTGATGTAGCTTTCAGAGGTTGTGTTCTTACACAAGATCAATTGCTTGTCAAAATGAATTTGATCATAGACGGCTTCAAACCTCGATGAGACACGTCAATTTGAATTTCTGAGATGATGAAGAAGGGCGATATCACTATATTAGGGTAGTGGGGAATATAATTTGTTTGTCAATTTGCTTCTCAATCACTATTTATGAGACACACCAGATAACCTTTCGCTTCGAGTTGTTTAGGTATACCATGTCGGCAACTTAGGGGGGTACGATTATGGATATTAGGTTATGATGATGACATCATTCTTGCTTTTATAGTGAAATTAATGTGAGTGGTGTGTATGCTAGTCGTCAAATACAGGTCCCGCTAACACCGAGAGAGTTATAAATTCAAATACACAATTTACGTTGGAGTTTGTGATGGCCAAGGTAGCAGGGGGCATTTGTGATTATGTTAGAGTTTTTAGTGCATAGACGAAAGGATGCTTGTAGATTCCCGAAGAGCGTATATGTGAATTAATGTAGGGAAAAGTACAGAAAAGGTACACGTGGTTTGGGCCGTTTTCAGATACGGGCACGTATTTCATTTTTTAACAAAGTGGGACATGTGTTTCAATTCCGTTATCATAGCAGGGGTATGGCGTCTAACGCCGTTAGAAAATCTAACCCCGGTTTTCAAAAGTCTCCGAAACATTAAAAGAAAAATACTGGGAGGTGCGCCTTATCAAGGAGACCAACAAACTATACTAGGGGAGGACGTCATCAATTGTAATTTAAGAACGTGCAAGCATCGATGGATTTCATACGGCGGTGGTTTTCTTTTGCTTCATCAATCTTCTCCTCGGAACACCTATACTCCAACGTACTACCGCTGGAGTAGAGAAATGCCACTAATGGAAGTGATTTATGTTGGTGTGAGCATCGACAAAGTGGTGGAGAATCAATAGCAATGACAGTGGTGTGACGACTAGACCTTGAGTTTGGGTGGAGACTAGAGTTATAAGGTAAGTGAGCAACGACTAAGGTTACATAGACATGTGAGTGTGGGCTAGGGTTACATATATGGGAGAGTGGTTACGTTAAGAGTTTCAATGCCTTGACCATCTTCTTCTTCATTTTATTTATTATATTTAGAGGTTTTAGCCACTGTTTCAAATGGGCAGCAATGTCATTGACTAGAGCATGACAATGTCTCTCGTTGCAAGTGGAGAAAAAATGTCACAAATGGTATGACACTGGTGCCACATGTCATTGGCCATGACATTGGGGTGTCATGGGCGGGGGGGGGGGGGGGGGGGGGCACTGTCAAGTGTTAGTGTCACTGGTGAAGCTGTGTAAGTGATGCTTTCTTGCAATGTAATCTAAATATTAACTAAAAAATGCTTATGGAGTATACATGTCATATTAAGCATCTTTGGAGGTTACTCTTATTAATATGTTCTTCTTTAAAAAGTAACTCTAAAATTTGTGGCTGTGTAAAAAATTAATTTGTTAAATGAATGATAATATTCAATGCTCATTTTCTTATTCATTAATCAACACAGTTTATTACGTAGTAATAAACAACTAGCTCTCTAAAAAACAATTATCCAAGAGTTGTTGCAGATATTCTTCTTGTAAATTTTTGAATTTTGCGCCACTCTTAACTTATGGGTTGGAACAACAACTTTTCTTCTTGGTGTAAATGGTGTTAGATGTCTGTTGATTTATGTTCAACGGACTTCATTAGATTCGAGAATGAGTTATCGCCTACGATGACTACTGCACTTAGGGGTTTGGCGATTGTTTCGGTTATGATGCCTCTTACAATGATGACGATGGCACCTACGTCAATGGCGGTGGCATTGACTTGGAATCACGATCCGCATCGCCGGATTCAGTGTTGATGATGACGTTGAAGTTGGATCGAGCTTGCAAAGAATGGGCGGTCAAACGTGAGTACCAACGAGATTTTAATCATTCATTCTGGTAAGTGATGAAACATGCCTGATGAAATCGACAAGAAAGCTAGGTTGGAAGACATAAGTTGCATCGTATGTGAGAAAATATTCGGTAAAAAATGGGAATGGGGCAGCTCTGTGTACTAAGTCCACTATTGGGTTTGATTGGCTCTAGGTTTTCTTTTTGAGAGTCGGACTTTAGCTTATTTTGAGTTTATTTTTTATTTATTTTTATTTTTATTTTTATTTTTATTTAATTGTTGGTGACTTTGTGTGAGACTTTGATTATGTGTTTCATTTTTACTAGTTAAAATTTAGTTTCAGGATATATATGATAGTCGAATTGTATTATTTTTTGCGCTTGCAAGGGTGATACGTTTTACGTGTGTGATTATAGGACCGGTAAGATAGTGGTTTTTGTTAGGTCATTCTCAACTTATGTATTAGTCTTTACCATCAAATTATTTTCGCATATGTCATTTATAATACAAAAAGATTTTACAAAAATAATACAAATAATTTTTGCGCTTGCAAGGGTGATAAATTTTGTGTGTGATTATATGACCAGTAAGCTAGTGGTTTTTGTTAGGTCATTCTCAATTTATGTATTTGTCTTTACCATCAAATTATTTTAGTATATGTCATTTATAATACAAAAAGATTTTAAAAACAGTTTTCAACATTTTTTTACTGGCCAAGCACTTTGTGGTTCGATGACATCACCGTAACACTGCAAAAAAAGTCACACGGTTGAAACTCACCCCAATTCAAGGAGCTGATACTACAATAAAAGTGTGAGTTCATAAAAACAATCATTTTACCGGGTCAAGTATATCGTGGTTTGATGTACACTTTTAAAGAGAATTTTACATGTTCGAAACTATCCCAATCAATATGTTAACGTTTAACATAACAAATAATATAGGGGTTATTTGAAATTAATTATGCTTCTGCTTCTATTTCTTTTTTAAAAGCAGAATGAGAATTCGCTTTCTAGAAGATGATCTCCCCGGACTAGTTGTAATCTTGGAGTGAAAAGAATAAAATTAATGTTTTCACCCCAAATTCTTGTAAAATCAGTGGTATAGGAAAGAGGGAAAGTGGATGACTAGAACTTAGGGTGAAGAATAACAACTCACTTTTCATTTCCAAGAGAGAGAAGAAAAAAGAAATAGTAGGTTAAATGGTGCAACGAACAAAGAGTGGGAGATAGGTCCCATGTTAAATACTCTCTCTGTCTCGTAATTAAGTTCACAGTTTGACTTCACACAGATTAAGAAAATAAATTTGACTTTACTGTGGAGTGCACTGTTTTGCACTGTTTAAACACTGTTTGACACTGTTTGAACACTGTTTGACACTTTTTTGATGTAGATTATTTGCCAAATAAGGAAAGTTTTGAAGTGTGAAGTTAATTTTGGGACTGCCCGAAAAAGAAAGTGAGAAGTTAATTTTGGGACGGAGGGAGTAAAAATCTTTATTTTATTTAAACTCAGACGAAGTATAACTTTTTATTTGTATTTTTACTTTTACAAAAAATATAGTCCTTATTAAAATTCATAATTTTTTATTACCTTTCATATGACATTAATATTGCCTATTTAATTTCTTTTAAAAAATTGATGAGTGAATATATTGACGATATTGGACACGAAAATATTGGATTGATGTACTGAATACACCAAGAGCCTGTTTGGAGACCCCTTTTTTCGGCTTATCAGGCTTATCAGTCAGCTTTTTCACCAAACACGTAATTTTTAATTTCGCGTGCTGAATTGTGTAATAAGCAGAAAAAGTAAGGTTGGAGTTACTTTTCTAGCTGTATTGGCTGAAGTTACTGTAGATGACCATTTTAGCTATTTTTACATGTAATTTTTTCTTTATTTTATTAATAAAATATATTTTTAAAATATTTTTTTCTAGAATCAGCAGAATCAGCCAAAACAGCCACTTCAGCCAGAACTTCATAAATTTCAGCAGAAACAGCCAAAACAGCCGATTTTGGTGCTACCAAACTGCTCCAAATTGATACAAACCTGGTTGGGAAGGTTGCGGATAGTCTCAACTTCTACAAAAACTCCTCATAGAAGCAATTTATAGCATCCAAGACCCTCTATACACTACAATCTGCAGCCTACGGGCACTTCGGAAAAATTGAAGTGGAATTGGCACAGGGATACCTTCACCCTGGCCGGTAACAAGTGAAAATCCATCGTGGAGATAAATATATGAAGGAGGTCTCTTATTTATACATTGGGATTATTGAATCCGGTAATGATAGTTGATTCCCCGGCTGCCTTAAAGCGAAGGAGGTTCAGTATTGTCGATCCCATGGAAGCTGATTCTGCTAAGGTCGTAACTCCTTCATTCATTTGTTTTCCTGCGATTTTATTCCCTCTTGTTTGATAATTGATATCATGTCTAGTTTCTTCACTTTCTTAATAAGCTAATGCCTGATCCCCAATTCCTTCTCGATCCATCAAATCATGATAAACATTCTTTAGAGTCTTGATGCTCTATGTCCGTGAATTTATCGACGTTGCTAATTGCTATTGATATGCCACCCCATCGATATATGGCATCTATAACTTGAAAGTTGAAAGAAGTAGACATCTCCCCTAACTACGAGAAAGGGTTTCTTAACCTCTCCACTGTGCTTATGGACTAGTTGGGGTCCGTTTGGAGCAGGAAAATAGGAAGGAGTAATGGAAGAAAAGAAAACATCAACTAAAGAATTGTTTCAAACGCAATTTGTCAAGTTTAGATATCTGTTCAAACTAATTTCTATTTTTATTTCTATTGAGTGAAGACCGCAAAATCTAAATATATTAAACGTTTAGAAAACTTAACTACTCATATTTTACCTTTATATTTCCATTCTAAAATCATAGTATCAAATACCCTTTTCCTAATAGTTCTTTTGGGAATTTGAAGGGGCCAGGGAAAGGAAGCCTGGTTTTTTTAAAGAAATTTGGAAAGAAAATATTGGGGGAAACAGACATCGGTTCTACTCAAATTCATTTTTTCAAATTTATTTCTATCATTTAATTGCTTAGAAATCTAAATGTACGCAATGCTAAAGACTCAAATCGTTTTTCATTTTCCTTTGCATTTCCGAGGTAAATCCATACATTAGAAAAAGCTTTGTTTAGCATTTTTTCCTTTCCCTAGCTTTTTCTCCGGGATCCAGACATAGTTCCAGTATATGGTTATCCTTTCCAGACATAGCCCTGAAGAATATAAATTGGAATTCATGGAGTGTAAAGAAAGAAAGGTTTTAACTTATAAGGGAATAAAGAGCTGAAGATTTAGTAGCCTTTTGACTGTTAATATACTCCTTATTCTCCCTTAGGTAAATGAATACTCTTCTTCAATATAATTGCTGAGTTGATATTGATGATTTGATACATCATTGATAGTTGCTTAAGGTTCCAACTGTTCATGTACCAATGCTATATTTCACATGAAGGCACCACACTCCCTTATGTTATATAGCTACTGATTTGATGCATCTCAAATCCAGGCGAAGCTTGCAGCTGCAAAGGAAAAACTTGGCCGTGAAATCCGCATCTTTCAAACAATAACCGAATCTGCAGCTTCAAGTGATATCTCTCATGATGGTATTTCCTGCTTGGTTTAGAACAATTAATTACTATCATATCTCCATCTTGTCGACTCATGTTTGACAATCCACATCTCTTTTTTTAGGGCAACCTAGTGAAGAATCGGAGGACTACTATGAGTTTACAGCTGATGATTATTTTCGTCTAGTGGCAACAAAGAAGAAAGGTACTAAACACAATAACACCTAGTGATGTGTATGTGGTGAATGTGTATTAGCAATATGTGTAGATTTACATGTGTGCATGCCTTTATATGGTAGCTCGTACATGCTTTATGCTTATACTGTTCCATCTTTAACACTGGCACGAACAGACACATACTTGAAGACTCGGAAATTAAGAGAAGCAGAAGAAGCTGCACGCAGATCAAAATTAACCAAGGTGGTTTGTTTTGCAGTATTTTATAATTTCGGTGTCTATTTAGGCATTTACTGAATTTTTAGCACGGCAATGTTCACATGTTTTTTTTAAAATATCTATGCATTATTACATGCAGGCTGTAATCAGAGTGCGGTTTCCTGATAATGTCACGCTGGAGGCATCATTTCATTCATCAGAGACGATCCAGGACTTGGTTGACCTTCTTGTGAAAGCCGTTCTTAGACCAGATTTGCCTTTCTATTTATGTAAGCGCGTCTGAAAATCAAATTTCATAATTTAAAGACTGACCTGTCCTACTTAAATGAACTATCATTGAAATGTAAAAGGTTGCTTCTTCATTATTTGGACAGATACTACTCCTCCCAAGAAGCAGATAAAAGACATGTCCCAGGATTTTTACTCTGCCGGTTTTGTTCCTGGCGCAATTGTGTACTTCTCATATAACCTACCAAATGGTCAGTAAATGCTCAGCTAACATTTTGGCCTTCATTACCAATGTATCTTACTTTTGTGAGTTTCAGTTATAAAAAATTGTTATTTTCTTTGTTCTCCTTATTCAGTGAGAATTTTAATTTTCATATCATCATCATCATTACCCCAGTGCCGCAAAGGCTCCCACCTATGGTGGGGTAAGGGGGGGTTGGATGTACACAGTCTTACTCTTGTACTAAAGCACAGAGAGGCGGTTTCCGGATGACCCAGTGTGAAAATCGCGTTCAAAATTGCATGAACTGAGTGAGACTGACCATTGCTTCATAACAAAGAAGCACAAACAGTTAAGTGAGCCATTTTGCTTTATTCCATCATATTCTCAAACTGAAAAATAGCGAGTCTTTGGCTCCATTGCAAATGATGGAAAAATTAAAGCTTTATTTAGCATAAGTTGGATGGCTAGATAAATAAAGAATAAATTCCATTTTTGGTCCTACAAGTTTTAGGTCAATTCCACATTTAGTCCACATCTTTCACTTTGTCCACTTTTGATACATGACTATTGTGTTTTCTCCCATATATGGTCCTTCCGGCATTGTTTCCGATGGTTAAAATCCTCGGAAAAGGACCACAAACGGTTAAAAACATTAGTCAAGTACCAAAAGCGGACAAAGTGAAAGACGTGGACTAAAGGTGGAATTGCCACAAAACTCTTAGGATCAAAAGTGGAATTAATTCATAAATAAAAGTATAAAACACAATGAAGTTTCTAATCCGGGCTTTAACAGCATTGGGTTGAGTTGGATACTTGGATGCTTTTTTTCAACAACTTGTCATATTTTGTCCTTGTTTTTCAAGCTTCCAGCCAATGCTTGTTTGATTATGCATAAGATAAATATCTAAGAACAAGTGAACAATGAATACCACCACCTTTCTATTCTTGTTATTTCTAATGCATGCAGCCAAGATTTGGCATGGAAGAAACACAAAGTTCTGTGAACTTGGAGAAATTTCTTATGTTCTATTACTACTTGGAGGAGAAAGGGAAATCTTCATAGTTTCTTATATTTTGATATTATGATTCTATTTATATGCAGCACTAAATTTTCTATAAAATGCAATATAAATTTTCTATGAAATACTCCGTATAATCTAACTAGTATCTTAAACTGTTAATTTATGTTAATATTGTCTGACTATAATTTTGCACTCCTAAAAAAGCTAATTATCTACATAATCACTGAGTAGATGTAACATTTAATGACAGAGGTATATCATGCTTCCACCTTTTTGTTATCTAGGTGGTGATGAGGGTGCCCCTGGGCAGCACTACCTTCAAGAAGAGATAATGTCTTTGCAAAATTTGGAATCTTCTGCAATAACAAAGCAGGAGGATGAAGTGGTTCCCGAGCCGCAGCCTTCAGTAGCCATCAACGACCCCACTCCTTCCCAAGAGAAAAAACCTGCTGATAAAAAGAACATAAAGCCAAAGTGGTTAAAGATGTAATACAGATTTCAGGTAATTTAAACAAAGGCTGGCTTCCACCCTTGTGTATGTTTTGATTGATCATCTCTGTATGCGCTGTTTGATATGTTCTGATATTATCTATTATTATTGGTGTGTTGCAGCTATCAACAACAACAGCAGCAGCAGCAACAACATATCTTTGCCAATTTAAAAGCACCCATCTCTCTCCTTGTAACTGATGTCGGTGAAAAAAGCAACAGATCTTTTCCATTAGTGTGCTGGATAGATGGATTGTAATGCCCCCCCCCCCCCCAAGGCTTTCGGTGTGAACATATATGTGTTATCATGTTTTTCTCTAGTCTATCTTTCATTTCGTGGCGGTATCTAACTTGCATTGGTCTGTGCTTGTGCTATTTCCCTTTGGTTATTCTACGTTTGGTTGCCTGCGTTGGTTCACCATGAGTCAGGAGTCCCTCGGAGAGAACACCTCCCATAATAAAATGGTGAGGTGACGTGTGACACTGCGTGCTGGCCTTTTTGGATTCATTTTTTTTCAGATTCGATTTCTCGCAACTACGCTACCTGTAACAGTGTGCTGCTATGGGCAGCCTATTTAAGTGCTAAAAAGGGCTCACGGAGAGGGTAGTAGGTTATTGATCATCGACAAAGTCAAGTACCTTACTGGCTTAATACATGCCCTACAAGTTCTTCATAAATATCAAACAGATGATTTGCATCTCTAATAAACATATCTACCCAATCAAAGTAGGAAATTACCCAGGAATAGGAGTACTACTAAATACTAATCTGTAGACTAGCGTGCACTAAAGCAATAGATGTAGTATTGCTATTGTAAAGTACAATAATACTACGTATTTTAGATTTTAGAATTTAGATAATTATTGTTGGAGTATATTCTTAATTTCTTATCACTTTGCAGACTTATACCACCGCAGCTTATTAACGAAGTATACTGATTTGTTACTCCTATAATCCTATTGTTTTTTGGTAGTCAATGATAGAATGACAATCAATTTGAGGTAAGGGTCAGATTGATGAATTCAGAGCCTCCTATATAAGGACTTATTTGACCCTTTTTATGCAACTTCGAGTACCAATCTGACCCTTACCTCCAATCAATTTTGATCAATGATATTTTTTTAAACAAAATTATTTTGAATATGAAAATTACATCAAAACGTTTCTTATTCAAAAGATTTTGTATAAAATTTATAAATTATATACGAATATAATAATTAAAATTATTATTCAAAGGTGTCATCATTGATCAAGAAATATCAATATGACACATCTGTTCGGAATGAATTATTCCCTAGTATTTTATATGAGTAATACATAACCATAATCATCAATCATCATTATGCAAAAATTTTACGGAGTATGGAGTACATAAAAAAAACTTATGAATATATACAATTGGTGAGTCTAGGCTAGGGGTGGACTCGGGCCGGGCGGCCCGACCAGGAACCGGCCCGGCCCGGTTACTGTTTGGGCCGGCCCGGCCCGGGGCCCGGTGGGTCCATCGGTTCGGTTTGGCCCGGCCCGGGTGATGGGCGGTCCGGGCTCGGGCCCTGCTTTAGGTGAACCGGCCCGGCCGGTTCGGGCCCGGTCCGGGCCGGATTTTTTTTTTTTTGTTTTGAAATTTTTTTAAGTTTTGGATTGGATTAGGTATTTTGGGCCATTTGAGGTGGTTTGGGGTGGTTGGGGTTGAGAGGGAGGGGTAGGGGGTTAAATAGGAGAACCAAAATAAAAAAAAATAAAAAAATAGACCGGTTGGAACCGGCCCGGCCCGGTTTGGCCCGGAACCGGACCCGGAACCGGCCACCGGTGGTTCGGGCCCCAGTTTTCGTGCCCGAGGCCCGGCCGGGCCCAGGCCCGAACCGGGCCCGAACCGGCCCGAGTCCAACCCTAGTCTAGGCTCTTGTTCATGTGGTCAAGTAAACTTTCTCTTAGGATGTTTTTACTTGGACTGTAATTTGCCCCAGACCAGACCAGACCAATCCAGACCAGACCAGTTTAGACCAGACCAGACCAGACTTGGATAGTTATAAAAATACAAAGAAACCAGACCTTAACAGACCAGACCAGACCAGCAAATTACAGTCCAAGAAAAAACATCCTTAATCTCGGAATTTATATATCAATTTTTCATTTTCGAATTCTACTTTTTTTATTTATCTTACATGTTTTGTAATTTTCGATAAAAAACATGTTTTGTAGTTTATGAATATATACAAATATACAATTGGTGAGTCTAGGCTCTTGTTCATTTTATGGGTTTTTTACTTGAATATTACCAATTTTAAACAAATTATCAAAAAAGTGACCACTTTTAAAAAGGGGCAAAAAAGTGATCAAGAAGATCATATATGTGGTATAGGAAACATGATGTCACTGCAGAGATTTTATGTCACTGTGTTCGTTATTTTTGTAACTAAGAATCGTCACGGTCAAATTTTTTCACGCCAATTACACCCCCACCGCCACAGTGACGCCGGTTTTCATGTCACGTCCGCCGCCAAGTGTGTCACTGTGCCGCCGTTAAAAAATCAAATGTGTCACTGTGCCGCCATTAAAAACCGCCATAGTGATGTCATATACAACAGTCACGGTGATACCGCCGTAGTGACACCACCATAGTGACGCCACCATAGTGACGCCGCCACAGTGATGCCGCCCAATTATTGTCGCCGCACCGCTGCATCGCCTCGTTGTCGCCGGCCATAGTGACGCCACTACAGTGACACGCCGGAATCTGCCTCAGTGACATAGGTCAATTATAGTTACAACTTAGTTTTCAATCAAATCCTCCCCGCAGCATGCCACAACCCACTCCCCCAGCGCTGCCACCCCTCACCTCCACCGTCTACTCATACACAACCTTACCCCTCCCTGGCCACCCCCCCAACACCCCTCCCTGTTCCCAGCCCATCGGATCTGCCCCGGTATAACCCATAGGCCATAGCAGACCCAAATAGCCCCAATCTAGACCCGGCCAGACCCTCTACAACCGCTGCACCACACCCACAGGCTACACTCTGTCCCAACATCCGCACCCACCTGCAACGGCGGCACCGCCAACAATCGGCCAACCACTGCCCCACCACCGCCCTACCCTGTCAGGCCCTATCCGAAAATCAGAAAGTAGAAACGAGAAGAAGAAGAAACGAGTTGCTGGGGCGGCAGAGGAGTTGCAACAACAGTGCAGATCCGGTCGATTTCGTGGATGTAGGAGTCCTCGCCGCTTCCACCACCATCTCTCTAGTTGGGCGCCTCACAGCCGCCATCGGTGACGCAGGTTCGTCTCCACCGCCGTGGTGGACCTGGTGTGAGGAGCTGGTTGATGCCGCAGGGATGGCCTGATGCGAGGAGGTGATGGAGCTCTCAGGAGTGAAGGTTCGCTACGACTTGTGAGGGAGGGTTTTAAGGAATTAGGTTACATTTTGGGGAAATTTTAAAATGGTCATTTTTTTGCCTTGTGAAACGTTGTGGGTAATACTTGTGCCATTATTTCTCATTTTATTACTCCCCTTTTCCAAATGATTTGCATCAACTTTTTTTTTTAATCAAACTTTTTTCGTCAATACAATTTAACTTTATATACTTATTTAGCACATCAACATTTTATTATATTTTAATTTGGACTTTGTGACTTTATAGAACATCTATACCATACACTTTCCGAATATGTAAGTTTTAATTGTTGAAAGTTACAACTAACAAACTATTAGCAGTGATGATTTAACTTTCTCATCAAACCATTAAGAGGTCGTTTGGCAACACTGTTTTTCGGCTTATCAGCCAACTTTTTCACCAAACACGTAATTTTTCCTTGCGCACACTGAATTGTGTAATAAGCATAAAAAATAAGGTAGTTATTTTTCTGGCTGTATTGGCTAAAGTTATTGTAGATGACTATTTTAGCTATTTTACATATAATTTTTCTGTATTTTATTAATAAAATATATTTTAAAAATAATTTTTTACTTAAATCAGCTGAATCGGTCAATGCAACCACTTCAGTCAGAACTTCATAAATTTCAGCAAAACTAGCCAAAACAGTCGATTTTGATGCTACCAAACAGGCTCTGAAATTCACAAATTATAATTCAATCCGGGGCGGAGGAAACATTAGTTATTATCATATACTCCGTACGTAGTATCCTTTCTAAATTTAAAGTACTATAAAAATGGATAAAACTCCGTAATACTCCGTACGTAGTAGTGTAGATTCTCAAAAAAAAAATACGTAGTCGTGTAGTACTCGTATACGTTGACTTAAGTCGCATTTGAATTTTGAACTGTTGATTTTTTTATTTTTTTAACACATACTCCATATAAATCAGACCCACGCTAAGCAAATACTGGATCTGCCATTCTGCCCTTCATCGCAAGTTCGTAACATGATCTTCTTTAGGGAACACGGATAGTATATATTTAGAAACAAGTGTAAAAGCATGTTTATTTAGGACTTAATGGACTTCATGAGATGGATGACTTAATCATTCAATCATTAAGTTGTGTTTATTTAGGACTTGATGAGAAACATCACTTATTAGCTCAGTTCAAAACTGACTTATTGGTTCAGCGCAAAAACAGGACTCCTTTCGATTTCGAAGTTATCGGAAGGAGTCCTGTTTTTGCGCTGAACCAATAAGTCAGTTTATATACACTAGAGCAACTATCTTCATCTCCTCTATCACATCATCATCATCAAAGTATAATCTGATGAATTCATATTTTTACATTTTCATTTGGTATGAGTTCTGGAATTTATCTCATGATTTGTATGACTTCGAATATAAATTTCTTTGTCTAGACATGAATTTATTCTAGGTAATTCTGCACAATTGGGCACTATTTTTGCATCTTCAGAAAATGTTTTCGGCAAAAAGCAACACTTTGTTCCTGAATATTTCGGCAGGTTGTATTTGGGATTATTTTAGCATTTTCTGCATATTTGGGTGCCCATCTTTGCATTTCATCATAGTATAATAATTTTTCGTTAATTATTCCAAATTATGTTACAAAATAAGAATAGTGAATCGACGATTAACGTTCTTCACTTAATGAAATAACGTTCTGCACACAAAGGGTAAATTGGTTATTTGACATTACTCAGACTTCTCATTCAGCACACAAAGTAAACAGTCTGTTATCACATTGTCACTTAATCCATATAGACATCTTAATCTAGACAGACCCAGATAGGACTTAATGAAATAAAAAGTAAATAACCCCTAAGAGCATCTCCAATGCTACAATGTGCACGGTGCACATGTGGCATGAGAGAGATAGACACAAAAATTGAATTTATGACATTTCTCCCTCATTCTTTCCACAGTTTTATGTGTTTTTGGTAAGTTTTCCTCTGCAATGTCAAGCACATTGTCTACATCTAGACATTGTGCTTGACATTGTGAAGAAAAACTTACCAAAATAATACAAGATGCTTCAAATAAGGAGAGAGATATTCTATTTATTATTTTTTAATTGACTTTCTCTCATGACACATATGCACCGTTCACGTTTTAACATTGAGGATGCTCTAAGAGTCATTTGGTAACGGTGAAATTTGTTGAATCTACTCAAAATGTTGAAATTGTGATTGAAATGACTGAATTGGTTGATTGGATTTGCTGAATTATGAAAAAGAATTCCTTAATATAAACAAAAATATGAAAAATAACTAAAATGATCATCTATAACACATCAAGTCAACACAATCAAAATGTAACTTCAACTGTAATTATTTTAATTATTACACAACTTAGCACATAATCAAAAGTTACGTATTTGATAAAATAATTGATTGATAAGACTAATAAGTTGAAAATATAAGCATAAAAACCAAATAATGAGATCTGAAAAACTGGTAAAAACCAATATATTTCAAATTAGAGCATAAATAATATTTCATTGGTCAAGAATAGTACTACCTCCGTCCCGCTAAGATCTTCCTAATTTGACCTTCACACATATTAAGAAAATAAACTTACCATGGAGTAAAATTTACAATTTTGACACCGTTTTGACACTATTTGGAACCGTTTGACACTGTTTTGCGCTGTTTGACACTGTTTTGATGTAGAATAACTTTCTATTTATGGAAATGAGAACTTCATTTTGGAACTGCTAAAAAAGGAAATCAGAAAGATCTTATTGGGACGGAGGAAGTAAATTAGAGTTGATCAGTGCAAGCAATTATTCGGTATTTAGGGGCAAACTATGTGATGTAGTAGTAGTATGGATCATTAAAGTGAGAAAGGAAAGTGGGTGGGTGGATCATGTCACATTGATCACTGCAGGTACTGTGTATTGTACCGTCGAAATGGGTAGTTTGTTCACATTTAACGGCCTTTACTGCTTGTTTGGTAGGCTTTTCTTTCGTCTTATGTTTGTGCTTTATTCATATAAATCCGTTTATCCAACGTTAAGGGAGTGTTTGCTACCACTTAACAAAAAGTTTTTGGCTTAAAAAACAGTTAACACTTTTTTATCAAACACTACCAATTTTTACTTTTTCTCGGCTTGCGTGTGAAAAGTGCTTTCACCTTTTTTTATTACACAAAAAACACTTATTTTTACCGAATACTACCAACTTTTACTTTTCAAAATCACTTTTTTCTCAAACACTATCAACTTTTACTACTAATCACTTTTTCCTTACATCTCCAAAAATGTTTTTTTTTTAAAAAAAAAAACAGTTGCAAACACTCCCTAATTGAAATAGCGATAAATATACTCCATAGAAAATGTTAAACATTACTTGTAAAATGAAACACTCATGCATTAAAATGAAATAATTACCATGCACCAAGTATGTAAAGTTCATTCAATCCAAATAGAAAATTCAAAGAATGCTTCATTTTTTCTAAAATACTATTAATAAAATAGTGAATACCTAGAATACAATTATAATAACAAAAAGTTACTAAATCATATTATTTCGTAGCATTTTTTATCCACTATTTTTACAGGAGTAGTAGTGTTTTTTTATTTTTACAAAAATCAATTACGGAGTATTTTATTTTGTTAACCGATTCTCTGAAAGTAATAAGGATGAAAGTAATAAGGATGATTGGATATCAGAACAAAAATCTGCACGGGTAGCTCGATTGGTTGAATGGTGAGAAAGTTGGAAGAACGACTAAGGATCGAAACCCGTAGCGAACGTGTGGAGGTTACAACTCTCGTGTGCTTGGCTGAACTTCTGATGCTCACAGGTACAAAGGGAGTGTTTGCAACTGCTTCTGCTTTTAAAAAAGTGCTTTTTTTTGATGAAGTTTGGAAAAGTGATTGTGTAAAAAAGTTGATAGTGTTTGGAAAAAAAGTGATTATGTAAAAAAGTGTTGAAGTTGGAGTGTTTGGTAAAAAAGTGATTATTGATGTAGTTTTTATTAATGTACAAAAATGCCCCTCTATGATTGCACCTTTGTGACTTGATTCGTTTCATCCGTGGCCTGATTCCATGCACGTAACTCCCCTGCGAAAATGTCAGACTCCAAGAAGCAAAGAGGGGAGGGCATTAATGTGACACAACAAATATGAACAATATAAATGCCCCTTAGTTCTCATGAATTACCAAATTACCAAGATTAATTTTAATAATTGCTTCTAGCTTCTGGGATGAATGAACGGAGAAGTGGTCTGCTGCAAACATCGGTTTTGACTTCTGTTGTCAAAAAAGCCCAAAAGTGCTTTTGAAAAGCATTTGCAAACAATGCTAAAGTCTACCACGATTGGGCCTACTGAGTCACTGTGACTTACAACCTCCAAAAATGTTTGTCGGGTCAGGGCGTGGGGGCCTTTAGGGTTGGGGAATCGACCTTTTGTTAGAATGGATATCAGAACAAAATTTTAATTTACAACAAGTAATTGTCATGTTTACTTCACCACAAGTTTTAAGAAAAGTAGTTGAAAGTGTAAAAAATGTGGTTGAAATTTGAATAATAAAGTGAATTGAATCATTGACATGAGCTACATATTATTATTGTCAAAAAAGGGAAAAAATAAGTAAAGCCGAAGTTATTTTTGGTGATCTTGATTTTCGACTTATTATCCAACTTTTTCATCAAACACATTATTTTTGAATTCACGCGCTGAGTCGTGTAATAACCAAAATAAGTAAAATTTGAGTTACCTTTCTGGATGAATTCAGTGAAATTACCGTAGATAATCGTTTTAGTTATTTTTCATATATATATATATATATATATATATATATATATTATTAAGAAAATATAATAATTCAACAGAATCGGCTCATCCAATTATTTCGATCAAAACTTCATAAATTTCAATATAATAAACAAAAATTGTTCTAAATAGGAGTAAAAACGTTTTGAAATTCCAAAATAGGAATATTGTATTTTTCATTTTTTGAATAATAGTAATCGGCCAAGTTTGAAAAGAATGTCATATTTAAAGCCTTTTAATGCCATATTTAATCCTATTTAATGAATTTGAGTATTTGGAAATGAGCTCTGGGTGGAACAATAACA